TTCACCCGACTAACTTCCAGCGTATGATAAGATACAGAGTAATCCAAGTTCTTTCACCCGACTAACTTCCAGCGTATGATAAGATACAGAGTAATCCAAGTTCTTTCACCCGACTAACTTCCAGCGTATGATAAGATACAGAGTAATCCAAGTTCTTTCACCCGACTAACTTCCAGCGTACGATAAGATACAGAATGATCCAAGTTCTTTCACCCAACTAACTTCCAGCGTATGATAAGATACAGAGTGATCCAAGTTCTTTCACCCGACTAACTTCCAGCGTATGATAAGATACAGAATGATCCAAGTTCTTTCACGGATGACCAATTTCTACAAATGAAACAACTGTTGGCTGGTTTTACTCAAATAATGTACGAACCAAATAATTTCACACAGTTAGTCTACTCCAAAATATCAAGCGAATTAATCCATTTTGCTTGCCTCCTTTGGTTGGTTTATTTTAAAAATTGTGTATTAGGTTTGTTTGTTTTGAATTTCGCGCAAAGCTACACGAGGGCTATCTGCGCTAGCCGTCCCTAATTTAACAGTGTAAGATTAGAGGGAAGGCAGCTAGGCATCACAACCCACCGCCAACTCTTGGACTACTTTTTTACCAACGAATAGTGGGATTGATCGTAACATTATAACGCCCCCACGGCTGAAAGGGCGAGCATGTTTGGTGTGACGGGGATTCGAACCCGAGACCCTCAGATTGTGAGTCGAGCACTCTAACCTCCTGGCCATGCCAGGCCTGTGTATTAGGAAGAGTGGTGATGCAAGAACCATTGGTTATAGGTTCGTCAACGATTATTCTATGTAAATCCATACATTTTAAAACTGATTATAACTATTAATTAATTAACCTAGGATTGGATCGCTGAAAACGAAAAGAACGAGACTGTTAACTTGGAATTTTTACAACGTAAAAATGAACAGAAATACAAATATAAAAACGAGGGAAACATGGCCTTGCAGTAGTATCGTTGTGGATTTCTACTCGGTTCTGTGCCTTCTTAAGAATGGGAGAATTTTATTAATATGACTAGCGTATTCCCCTCAAAAAATGACGGGGCAAGTACTACCACCCCCACCCCATAGTATACCCTAACCTCACATTTCATAGTTAACTGAAATAAATAAATTTTGCGAACTCAAGCTTGACCAACAAAGAGGCAGAAAAGTGCAGTCGAGGCAGGGAAACGTCGGTAAATTTCCTTGTGAGCCAATCAAAATTAAGATCATTTATGAAATGAATTCGTGGCGTATTCATAGAATAATTATTGGTTAAAAATTAGTTAGATTAACAACTTCTAATATATAGAAAAGCCAGTGCGTTTTGGTAACACTATGTTCCAACAATGGCTTTTATGTCATGTTGCTTAGCAACAAAAGTATAATGTAATATTGTTGTTAGTCTATGTACCGAAAGTATAAAATGAAATGTATAGACAACAAAACTGGAAAATATTTGTTGATTTCTTAATTTAACGTCTCCGTTGATAAAAAAAAGGTTTGTCTCTTATTAAAAACGTTGGTGATATAACAGAAAATAGCTTAAGACAAAAACGATTTAAGTTTAAAACTGAATCGATATTTTGACTTTCATGATAAATTTTATGCACTTGGCTCTAGGGTAGGTGATCCCAACACTCACTACACTTATAAGGTTTCACGGCACCTCCGTCACTAAAATCGTAATAGGCAGACAGTAATCAAACTATTCTATCTGGATAAATGTATTTTAGCTTTTATGACTCTTCCTATATGGAGAAATCAAGCGTCACGTGACGTGACACACATTGGCTTTTATATAGGTCAGATATCATATATATATATATACAATTTTTCTATTAGTTATTCCCAAGTAAGGCGTATTGTCTCATCTTAAGACTTTTTAATCTAAATGAACTGTTTATTATAGTATACAAAGAGTATATATATATTATATACAATGAATTAGAAAGTACAGAGAGAGAGATAAGAGAAGATAAATTAAGATCAGTATAGAATCGCTTCTTGAAACTTATCGAATAAAATGATTGGATGGGTAATTTTTAATAAATAATTACTGAGGTTTAATGTTCGTCTGAACTGAACTATAAACGGATGTCACTTACCTCGTAAGACGTTGTTTTTGGAGATTTAGAAGAACCGATATACAACTCGCTAGTTTTGTTTTGGTTTGAATATCACACACGAGAAGTATAATTACAACAATGCTTTATTTACTTATTCTTGAGTAACACTTTTTTTTCTTCTTCTATAATATTGTATTTCTACCAATCAGTTTCCTTTACGTAGAATTATACACGGACTTTTCTGTACATTAAAATACTTTTCTTTCGGCCCTTTTACCTTCGTCGTTTTTAAAAACATTGCCCCTGTTTTGATGATCGTCTTCTCAAGGTGAGATCTGAAAACAGTGGCTCACTGGTTAGTGTTCTAAAACAAAATAAATATTGTTACGACATCGGGGTCACGTGACCCTAGTAACATGTCATTGACTTCTAGAAATATCCTGTTCCTTCATGAATGTCCTAGCGTTTTCTAGATATAGTGTAGTCTTGTATATATATAAGACGGTCACAAAGTGACAGCAACAATGGGTAATTGAATGGAGTATTGTTGAGTCGAGCACGTGAGACGTTCATTAAGAATTATAGCGTTTGTTATAGCGCGACTGTTG